TTCACATTTCTAAGCAGAGGGAGAAAGGGACTAATGCAAAGTGATACCTTTAACTTCCTGCCACCTGGTAACCAGCATTCCTAGAGTCTTACCTGACAATTTCTGGTTATATCTCCTTGGCCACCCTGAGCTGCAAGGGAGTCTGGCAGTATACTTGTTTAACTGAAAACATGGCTTCTCTGTTAACTAAGGAAGAAAGGGAGAATTTGAGGTAGCAAATTGGCAATCTGCCTTGTAGTACACCCAAGGAGGGATTCCCTCTGTGTCCTTTTTCACATTGTAACCTACATGTTCAGAAAAGAGTTAACAGAGCAGGCCTAAGGCTGCCTGTAGACCCTACTCTGGTAAAGTTCACCTAGCTGTGTAAGGATGGCTATTCTAGTCCCTATTTCCATATGTGAGATATAGAAGCTGATGGTTGTTAACCTATACTTTTAAAAAGTTAAAAATATTAATCCAATGCAAATATAGAATGAGAAAATATCAAATTTTTGTTAAACTTATTAAGAGAAAACCAGCAGGAAGGTACAGATGATTCAAAGACAAATAGAGGATAGAGCCATCTAGGTATTGGAAAAAAAGAAATGTTAGAAAAAGATTTCTGTTTAATGTCCTATATGAGGATAAAGCTGTAAGTGTTGGGGTTGCTGTTATTATTTTAATAGGGAAAATCATTTGCATCTTTTCTAGAGAAGTCTACAAGTTAACAAAAAACCTCATAAATTCTAAGACTTTAATCAAAAGAAAATACTGTCTTTGTATTATTAGGGAATTAGTTTAAAATTGCAGATTCCTCTAAAGCAGTCCCTAAAGAACATTTTGAGAACTGCTTGATTTGATAATTTTAATTGATGTTGATTATCTGATTTTTTTTTTATGTAAGAGGACATCCTTGGTTTTAGAAAATATACACTGACATTTTTAGGAGTAATGGGACATCATAGCTTTAATTTGCTCTCAAACATTTTCATCTTTATATGTATTGAACTTGAAAAAGTCAACAAAAGGGGCAAAAGTATCTAGCAACCTTCCCGCCTCCAACCTCCTCCGCTCTGCACACCTCTCTTTTGACTTCTACATCACCCTTTCTGTCCTGGATCCCCTCCTTCTGTCTGCCCATTCCCTCTACTCCACTTCTGAGTGTGAGAATCCTTCAAGTTTCAGTCCTGGTCCCTATGTACTTTAGCTCTACCCCCCCATCCTCAGATCTTTGAATTCTACCCTCAGGCTACTGACTCCCCCATTTCTATCTCTGCCTCTCTGAGCTTGTGTTTCCAGATGACTTCTTGACATCTCCATTTCCACGAATCACATGACAAGTCAACAGATTTAAAGTGGAACTCCAGATTTCCATCTGTGTTGTATAATAAGAGTTTTTCTGGTATTTGCTCTGGTTTATGGCATGGAGCTTCAAAAACTCTTGGCCTTTTCCAAGTGATAGGAGTGTCTTTATTACTTGTGAGTTTCTTGATCATACCTGAATTTATAATACTGAGATAATCCAGGACAGGAGCTGGTAACTAGAAAGACCAATCATGTGATTAGAAGGTTGAAGCTTTGAGCCAACACCACCCTGTGGGAAGCAAGTGGGACTGGAGTTCAACCACAGCCAGTGACTCAATCAAGCATGCTTACACCATTAAATTCCAGTCAAGACTCTGGACACTGAAGCTCGGGAGAGTTTCCTCATAGCCAAATACATTGATGTGCTAGGAGGGTGACAAGCTGATTGTACAGGGGGAGAGCACAGGTGCTCCTTGCCCTGTGTGTCTCTTCATTTGGATGGTCCAGATTTGCATCCTTTATAATGAAACTGTAATTGCAAGGATAGTGCTTTCCTGAGTTCAGTGAGTCATTCCAGTGAATGACCAACTCTGAGGGAGTTATTATTATTCTCATCCCCAAAACGAACTTTTTCCCTTTTCTTTTTTTGCTGGCTAAGATGCAACTCAGCTTCATGCAAAATATTTAGTTTCTTGCTCTCTCTTTCTTTGTGGGGCTTTGTGGGGCTTGAACTCAGGACCTACACCTGAGCCACTCTACCAGCCCTTTTTTGTGATGGGTTTTTTTTTTTTTTTTGAGGTAGAGTCTTGCAGACTAGTTGCCTAGGCTGGCTTAGAACCGTGATCCCCCTGATCTCTGCCTCCTGAGTAGCTAGGATTAGAGGTGTGAGCCACCAGCACGCCCAGCTACTTTTTCTCTCTCTTTTAAAGACTCCTTTAATTTGGAACAGTCCCTTAGACCTTCTTTTCCTTGACACTTGAGGAATCCTGACTAGTTATTTGTTAGAATGTTCTTAATTTAGGTTTGTCTGATGTTTTCTCATGACTATACTCAGTTTTTTTTTTCTTTTTGGCAGAAATACCATTGTGTCCTTCTAGCACAGTATTGAGAGGTATTGTCACCAGGACCACCGTTCAAATGTTCCTGTTCAGGTCACCATCAAATGTCCCTGGAACTAGGACATGTTCAAATGCAGAGAGGTTCGCAGAGAGCATGAACTTCAACCCAGGGTGCTAAGCTTGTGACACAGAGTACAATGTTTGTGTTCTGAGTTTGTCGATTGAGTTTGTGACATTGTCATAGAAAAGAATTTAAGGATAAGTCTAGTTAGAAGTTTTATTTAGCAAAACAGAAGAGCAGAAAAACAAAGCAGGAAATAAAACATCCCAACAGGCTGGAGATATCTGGGCACATGGGAAGCTTTCCACGTCCTTTGTATGAGGCATATTTATAAGGCTCAAGGCAGTCTGGGGGGGAATTTAACTTTGACCTTCCTCCAGGTAAGCATGTTCTTTATGCACAGCACCTGGTACTACTCAAATCATTTTGCTGTTGTTGAAAGTTTGATGTTACCACTGAAGTATGGAAATTGAGTCTGAGGTGTTCTTACTAATTAATCTTTATGACGTGGGTGCCTATTTCTTGCAGCCTTTTTTGGCACTCTTTTGATTAAATATCAGGCATTTTAAAGTTTTGGGTACACCATTCAGCTGGGTCATGGTCAGAGTAACTATCTCTATCATGTATTTTACTTAATTGGGAAAATGGGGAGTGCAAAGACAGAAACGTACATTCTCTTTAATTATAATATTCAATTTTTTCAGTCTTAACAACTCTTCTGTAATTGTGTTTTATGTTTTGGAAATAATAAATTTGGTATTCCCAGAGACCAAGTTTGAAGATCTATTGGTTCTTTCTTTTAGAAGATGTTTTTTTAGGGCAGAAAAGCCCTTCGGTAGGAGATATTTATTATCCTTTAACATGGTCTCTTTTTAGTGCAAGGATGAACTTTACCAGATGTTTTTCTTGAGATATTTATCCAGAATGAGTTTATCTAGAGCAAACCATTAATGCAAAGTTAAAAGCATGGTTAGCTAATATGGTCTAATGGGGAGTGAGAGAGGTCAAGTAACCTATTAATAAGTAGCTTATTCTTAGCTCCTGGTTCTCATATTACTCTGATTTTTTTCATATCATTGATTTTAGCTTGCTTTCTAAAATTTTTAATGTTATCTATCTGTAGGTGAGCCTACCTCTGTGCATGAGGTCCATTCATCTTATTACTGATGATGTTAGCTTTGAGCACTTCATAAAGGTAACTTTCCATTCAGTATTAACATTCAAGCATATTAGTATATAATCTTTCTGGACAAATGATAGCTTCTTGCTCTTCAATTCAATGCTTTTCTACAGCTACCAGTAAATATTTTTAGAAGCTTTCAAGATGAAAACACTAGATGGAACACCTTCTTCCCTACCAGTGTCTCACCCGGTTGAGAGCCCATGTTGGTCTCCTGAACTCATGGGCTCACATGATCCTCCTGTCTCAGCATACCATTTAGCTGGGACTTCCTTCCTTCCTTTTTTCCTTTTTTGTATGCTGAATGCATACACCACTATTGAGTTACACAGATGGCCTTATTATTATTATTATTATTATTTTTAGCAGTACTCGGGTTTGAACTCAGGATTTCATGCTTCCCTTGAGCCATACCTCCAGCCCTATTTTATATTTTTAATCAGTGATGATCATTTGTTGGGGTAATAGTTGTACAGCCCTTTTTAGCGGTCTAAGCACTTGTGTGTGTGTGTGTGTGTGTGTGTGTTTGTTGAATTCAGGTCCTCTCACCACTCTGTCAGCCCTTTTTGCACTGGCTGTTTTTGAAATAGGGTTTTGCTTTATGGCTGGGCAGGGCTGGACCACAATTCTTCTATTTGTGGTAACTCCTGTAGCTGGGATGACAGACACATGCCACTAGCATGCCTAGCAATTGGTTGAAATTGGGGGTGGGGAGGGTCTTGTGAAGTTTTGAACCACAATCCTCACAATCTCTGCCTGCTGAGCAGCTAGGATTACAGGCTTGAGCCATGGCACCCGGCCTTAAGTACTTTTATATAGTCTGTTTCATTCAGATATTCTAACAATCTAACCTTGGGTTAAGTATTAGTATTTGTATTACAGGAGGAATTAGGATTGTGGAATCATGCATCGATTTACTATTGACATTGCTAAGTCAAATTGATAGTCACATAGTTAAATGAATATTTTAGCAGTAGATCCTTTTGCATTTGGTATCTGACTAACCATGGAGGAAGGAGGGCTAGGGAAGACTAATTTGGGAATATCTGGGGGCAAGGAGTGGAAAAGAGTAAAGAGAAACACAGATATAGGACTCAGGACAAAGTTGGGATTTAATGATGATGGGCTCTTAGGTCCGGTCGGCGGTAGGGGAGGAAAAAAAAAAAAAACAAAACATCGCAAACATTAAGGTCTGTCCAGGCTTTAAGTGGCCAGTGGTTTTTGCATCCAAAGGCATGGGTGGAGAGCAGCTGTGAATAGGGCGGGGCCTATGAATGACGGGCGGGGTTATGCCTAGAGCTCAGGTGGGCGTGATTGACGCGAAAAGAACCAATCATTGTGTGGGCGTGGCTGACATGGGAGGGCCGCTGCGACCGGGTCGAACAGGTCCTCTCCGCACACTTCCGGGTGTTCCCCGCAGAGGGCGCCAGCTGCGGAGCCGCACGCTGAGTCGCGAGGCCCAACGAAGCACAGCGCCGCCCCACTCGCTCCAGCAGCCGCCATGAAGGCCGTGGTGCAGCGCGTCACCCGGGCCAGCGTCACAGGTCAGTCGGGCGGGGCCGGGCCCGGGAGGAGCCGCCCCTGACCCCCGCGACCCGCGGTCCCGCGTGGGGGTCCCCGCACCGGTTTTTGGGTCCTCTCAGCTCTACGTCCCTGGGGGCGGGGAAGCTCCCGCACGTGCCTGGCCGGTCGCGGCGTCCCCTGGTTCAGATGTTCTGCTTTGGGTCCAGCATAAGCGCGCCTTAACAACATTATCATCATAATAATTATCACCATTATCATTTTTTGTTCTGTGTACAGGGTGGCAGAACCTGCGAGCATCCCCACGGCCGGTTCTTCAATGCTCTGTTGCACACAACACGTAGGGAGCATTTCCGGAGCAGGAAATACTACCCACCCCCCCACCTGACCACTGCTCTGTCTTAAATGCTGCATTTTTGTCCCTTTTTGCACATCCCAATTTTTTAATGGCGCTTGGCATCCAGTAAAATGCACAGACGTGAAGAGTTGCTTCTTGGCTGAGTTCTGACAGTTGTGTACAACGCAGGTAACTGCGCCCAGACTAGGTGCAGAGCGTTCTCTGTGCCTGGACGCCTGCCTTCTTCCTCACTAGCCGAGCCCTGCAGCCGTGGGTCAGAAACATAGAATTCAAGATGGTATATTTCTCTTTTCCACTAATTTCAGTGGACCCAGCCACCCAACCGTTAGTCATCACTGGACTAGTCTAGTTGGAACATCAGGGGTCCAGATAACGTAAATATTCTAAATACCCAAAACATGGGTATTTAGAATTAAAAAATTTAAGTGACTTAAGTTCTTACTATCTTAAGTCTTTCTAATTTTTATTGGCAAAATTATATTGTTTGAAGCTGGGCACCTTGGCAGGTGTCTGAAGACCCAGCTACTTGGGAGGCTGAGGCAGGAGGATTGCTTGAGCCCAGGAGATCAAGGCCATTTTGGGTAACAGTGAAACCACCATCTCAAAACAACCACAAAACAGCAAAAAAAAAAAAAAAAAAAAACAACAAAAGACCCTGAAACAAAAAAATTGACAATTTATATTGTTTCAGCTTAAATAATTCTAGTTACTCTTTTCCTCAAACCAATCTACTTTCCCTCAAACCATCTACATCAGATGTGTTTCTAAGTCCACCAAGTACAAAGCCAAAAGCAAAACAAAGCCCCTTAAACAAACAATCAAAAGGACATGTTCAGATCTGAAATTCTACTTTTCAATGCTTTCTAACAGCTGTTTTGGTAACTTTGGTTTTGGAAATTGTCCTGAAATGATAAGGAATAGCATAGAACTGTGGGTTTTGAAAGGTTTTGTAGCATTTCAGTAAATACTTACGTTCATTAAAGCTGGGAAAATTCACAGATGAACTTTTTTGGAGGGAATCTGTCTATGTGGTCATCACCAATCAATTTAAAATTTTTTAAATTGTTTTATTATTCATATGTGCATACAAGGTTTGGGTCATTTCTCCCCCCTGCCCCCATCAATTTAAATTTTGATCTTTTGTTCTTTGAACTTTCCATCCTGCTAATCTGGAGTATTGAAAATTTATCTTTATTCTGTGAGATTTCCTGATTAGAGTTTGGATTCTTTAATATTTAAGTCATGTGCTTTTAGTTAAGGTCAACCAACCAACCAGCCAATTGACCAGCCTGTTTATTAAAACATAGGGTTGTTGGCTGAGTACAGTGGCTCACATCTGTAATCCTAGCTACTCCAAAAGTGGAGATTGGGAGGATCCAGGTTTGAGGCCAGCCCAGGCAAAAAGTTCCTGAGATCCATCTCAATCAATAAAAGCTGGGTGTGGTGGTACATGCCTGTCATCTCAGCTCCTGTGGGAAGCACAAATAGGAGGATCACAGTCCAGGCCTGCTAGGAGACCCTGTTTGAAAAATAGCTAAAGCAAAAAAGGGCTGGGGGCTTGTCTCAAGTGGTAGAGCACCTGCTTAGGAAGTACAAGGCCCTGAGTTCAAACCCCAGTGCCACCAAAAAAAAAAAAAAAAAGAGAGAGACAGAGATTGGGAATTATGAGGATTTGTTAGTTATTTGGAAATTCTGGATTGGGAAATCATGGAATTCTCAGTATTGGAATTATTCAGGCCTTTTAGTTGAATTATAGTTCAAGGAGGGCTGGTAGAGTGGCTCAAGTAGTAGAGTACCTGCTTAGCAAGCTTGAGGCCATGAGTTCAAACCACAGTACTGCCAAAAAAAAAAAGTAAAGTCTGTAGTGGAAGAGGATTTAAAAAAGGTGGCTGACATCATTGAAATGTATCTGCATTCAGGTGACATTTTATTTTAAGGGTTCTAAAGTATCACTTTCTATCTTACGGTCAAATAGAATAGCATAGCCACACATCCTATGTGGCAGGTTTACTTTACGAGGTTTGTTAGACACATTTTGATGCCCTAGTTCAGTTATTGTGTTAATCTTATCTTGTTTGTTTGTTTTTACTTTGCAGTGTTGTGAACTGAACCTAAGGTCTTGTACATTTGAGGCAAGCATTTTGCCTCTGGGCTACATCCCCAGCCCTGTGTTAATCCTTTTTAAAAACCTTTATTAGGGGACATTTCAAGCATATTCATTTGGTGACATAGGTGGAAAAGTACCTTCACATCCCATTGATGTTTCTTGTGCTAAAATCCGATGTGTGTGTATGATTCTTGGAGCGGTCTCATGGCCCATGTCACTCATTCATGGAGAAATTGGCTAAGCATTTCAGCTCTTTTCCAGCTCTGTGATCTTTTTGTCTAGAGTGGTGATTTTCAAGTTTTTTCTCTTGGGAAACCTATTTGTTGATGATAAAGACCCCTTTGAACCTCCCAAGATTTTCTGCTTGTCCCTGGAGGAGGGGCAGAATTACTCCAATATAAGGCAGTAATCCCTGTGTCATATATAGATTTTTTTGGGTTTAGACTTTTTTGATGGTCCTGGGGCTTGAACTCAGGCCTTTGAGTTTGCTAGGCATATGCTTTATGGCATCAGCCATGCCTCCAGTCATAGTTTACTTTTTATAATGACAATACATTATGAAAATACTGAAATTCTTTGATGATTTTTGTTTTTGAGAGTCTATTCTAAGAAGATAAGTCCAATTATAGAAAGAACTTTAGAATACAGAGTTTTGTTATTTACTAAAGGGAAAATTTCAAAACAAGACAGATATCCAACAAAATAGGATAATTAGTCCATTGCATAGGTTGTAGTTGTTAAAAGGTATAGGAAAGTTTATGTCTGGAAAAAACTCTTATGCAATGTTAAGAGAAAAGATGAGATACAAAATTTATTATTAAGTTTTGAGATTTAAAGATGAGATAAAAATTTATTATTATAGTAGTTAGGAAGAAATATGAAGTAAAATCTACAAGCATGAAGTATCTAAAGGAAATCATTAAAATATTAAAGTGTATTTCTTTAGGTATCCTTGTTTTCTTTCCTGTGTTTCATCTTCTCCAAATTCTCTGTACTATATATACATTACTTTAATGGTGCATATATATCTCCATAACCTTTATTTTTTAAAAAACATACTTTGGGAAAATTTAGAAAGTATATTCACATTTTGAGAAAATAATGTTGGGCTGGTGGAGTGGCTCAAGTGGTAGAGCACCTGCCTAGCAAGCATGAGGTCCTGAGTTCAATTTGCAGTACCTACCAAAAAAAAAAAAAAGTTGATTTATTTAAAGAATAAATAAAGCCAGAAGGCTTTTTCTAAAGCAGTGTAGACAAAGTTAGCATGCTTGTTTTTAAAAAATTTTTTATCAACAAAAATTAACTGTGTAAAGGGATTTCATTGTGATATTTACAGATTCACCCATTTATATTACTTTCCCTACCCAAGCTTACTTGTTTACTGTTTATTTCAGGAAAAATTATTTCTGTTTCAACTTTTGTGTCACTGACTAATGGGTCATTACAAGAAAAGCAGCACTGAAGAAAGTATTTTAAAATTTTAGCATAAAAAATAAGAAAATTAAGCTTTTGCTGATATTTCAGGAATAGATGAATGCTAGTATTCCTCTGGTCTGAATGTTAGTAGTCCCAGTCAGACACCAACGGAAAGAGCCATTTCTTTTCTTTCCATAACTCCTTCTTTAGACATATTTGTAGATATTATTATCCAGCAGAAGCAAATAACAGGAAATGGCAGATCTGACCCTTCTATTCCTGATTGAGAACATAAGTCAGTACACAATAAAATAAGAAAACAACAGTAATCAGATCTGAAATATCTTACGTTCAATGCTTTCTAACAGCTGTTTTGGTAACTTTGGTTTTGGAAATTGTCCTGAAATGATAAGGAATAGCATAGAACTGTGGGTTTTGAAAGGTTTTGTAGCATTTCAGTAAATACTTACGTTCATTAAAGCTGGGGAAATTCACAATGAACTTTTTTGGAGGGAATTGTCTATCTGGTCATCACCAAATCAATTTAAATTTGTTTAAATTGTTTTATTATGGCATATGTGCATACAAGGTTTGGGTCATTTCTCCCCCCTGCCCCCATCAATTTAAATTTTGATCTTTTGTTCTTTGAACTTTCCATCCTGCTAATCTGGAGTATTGAAAATTTATCTTTATTCTGTGAGATTTCCTGATTAGAGTTTGGATTCTTTAATATTTAAGTCATGTGCTTTTAGTTAAGGTCAACCAACCAACCAGCCAATTGACCAGCCTGTTTATTAAAACATAGGGTTGTTGGCTGAGTACAGTGGCTCACATCTGTAATCCTAGCTACTCCAAAAGTGGAGATGGGAGGATCCAGGTTGGAGGCCAGCCAGGCAAAAAGTTCCTGAGATCCATCTCAAATCAATAAAAGTGGGTGTGGTGGTACATGCCTGTCATCTCAGCTGCCTGTGGGAAGCACAATAGAGGATCACAGTCCAGGCCTGCTAGGAGACCCTGTTTGAAAAATAGCTAAAGCAAAAAAGGGCTGGGGGCTTGTCTCAAGTGGTAGAGCACCTGCTTAGGAAGTACAAGGCCCTGAGTTCAAACCCCAGTGCCACCAAAAAAAAAAAAAAAAAAAAAGACAAGAGATTGCGGAATTATGAGGATTGTTAGTTATTTTGAAATTCTGGATTTGGGAAATCATGCGAATTCTCAGTATTGGAGTGTAAAGAGGGAGCAGATAAGTGCCATTGGACAGGGCATTTGGTGTGTTGCTGGGTATTCCCTGGAGATACACAGAAGGAACTGGAGCACATGTAAGATGTGGATTTTAAGTCCTGTACTTTGAATGAATATGTGCTGTTTATGTTGGCAACATCTGTAGTATTTTGTGCCACTGATGTGAGCTACAAGTCCTTTCATTTGTTTGTCCACTTGATGTAGTATGTTTAAATCTTTTCAGTAAGACTGAGGAAGAATAATTTCCAAACTCATCCACTAAATAGCAGAGTGGAAACACAACTTAGTCTTGTTCCTCTTACTAAACCTGTGGTTCATTCTTGTCTCTCTCAGCATACATTAATTGTCAAAGGGGTTCCATTGTGATTTTCCATACATGTGTGTTTTACTCCCTCTATTATACTGTTATACTTTGCTTAACTTTCTGGATTTTTTTTGGTGGTACTGGGATTTGAACTCAGGGCCTCATGCTTGCTAGGTGGATGCTTTACACTTGAGCCACTCCACCAGCCCTCAATTTTTTTTTCCTTAATGCAACACAGACTTAAGTAGGATTCTCTTTTAAATTTGGGCAATATGACCTGGGTACTATTTAGCAGAATGCCCAGTTGTTCATTGTCTTCATGAGGATCTGGAATTCAGAGATGTTAAACGTTGCCCTTGGCATGGGGCAAACCCTGTCCTGAATAGAATCTAAGCTACCTACCTTGAAGCCAGTATTCTTTTTACTATGGTAAGGGAGTTTGTCATGCTGCTACCTGGTTGGCTGTTTTATTAGAGTCGAGTTTCCTATCCATGCTTACTTCCTTCCCCTCCATTGCACATTTACTTTAGGTGCTAGCTACATTAATTCTGTGCTTGGTACCAGAGATTGGAACTCTGATCAATTGTCTTGTCATTAAATTGAAAGTCCGATTGAGAGCCTAATTCCTGCTAAGATGTTGATGACTGTTAAGGACACTTTGATACCACTTTTGGGATGTTGGTATTGAGTATCCAGGTGTCTCCTAGATACTTACATAGGAGTAGAGTGGGGTAGTGGTTAGTAACTGGGTTTCTGGGTATAAATCTCTTTATGGTTGTGATGGTTCGTCTTGGTTGCTAACTTGATTGGATTGAGAAGTGCCTAGGAGATAGTAAAGCACACAGCTTGGGGATGTGTCTTTGAGGGCATTTCCAGAGAAGATTAACTAAGTGGGGGATGCAGACTCTGAACATGAGTGGCACTCTCCTATAGGCTGGGACCTGGATAGAATAAAGGGGAAAAAGGAGAAAGTCTGCTAGTACAGGCATTCTCTCTCTCTGCTTCCTGGCTGTCAAGATGTGAGCTGCTCTTCTTCACCACACCCTTCCTGCCATGATGGACTAGAACCTCTGAAACCATGAGCCAAAATAAATAATTCCTCCCTTTAAGTTGGTTTTCTCAGGTATTTGGCCATGGCAATGGTAAAACTGACACAATGTCTGTGACATACCAAACAGCTAATACTCAACTTGTGGTTAAGAGATGTGACTCAAAAAAAGACAAACCTTGGCCCTGGAGTTGGGTAATGAATATTTCCAACTACAGAGAACACTCAAAGGAGTCAGGGATGGAAGTATATTGGGCCATTTCAGTCTCAAAGGGTGGCTGTCAACTTTTTGTTGATGGTTCTTTTTCATGGTTCTAAAACCTGACCTACATTTATATTACTTTCCCTACCCAAGCTTACTTGTTTACTGTTTATTTCAGGAAAAATTATTTCTGTTTCAACTTTTGTGTCACTGACTAATGGGTCATTACAAGAAAAGCAGCACCGAAGAAAGTATTTTAAAATTTTAGCATAAAAAATAAGAAAAATTAAGCTTTGCTGATATTTCAGAAATAGATGAATGCTAGTATTCCTCTGGGGTCTGAATGTCAGGTAGTCCCAGGTCAGACACCTAACGGAAGAGAGGAATTTCTCTTTCTTTCCATAACTTGCCTTCTTAGACATATTTGTAGATATTATTATCCAGCAGAAGCAAATAACAGGAAAAATGGCAGAGCTGACCCTTCTATTCCTGATTGGAACATAAGGTCAGTACACAATAAAATAATAAAACAACAGTAATCTAATGAGATTGGGCAAAAAAGTTGGCAAGAAAAGAGGAAATTATCAAAGTTGCCATTAGAAATTGTGGATTTAGTTTCACCATCTTAATGATGAATTTTGGCCTAAATACTATGCCAACATTTGAGATACTGTCTAAAGTTACTCGGGCATACTTTTGATTATAAATACATACAACAATGTTAGCAGTGTGTGCTCAGACTTTTTTTTTAATCGATTAGGTACATGATTCAAAAAGATTTGGAGATGTTGGCTTAGAATGTTACTTCAGTACTTCACTGGAAATAATTGCACTTTGCTGGGGTGAAGCTTAACACATAGTCATAGTTTTTATGTATAATGTATTTATCTTCTTTGCAGTCAGTAGGAAAAACATGTTTATGATGTGAACATTTTCCATTTTGTGCTATCTGTATATTGTGTCACTAGATTTGCTGGTTTACAAGAAAAGTAGGAATCTCATTTCTGAGAATTAAACTAGCTGAGCTAGATTTTCTGGGGGAAGAAAACATTGTTCTAGTTTTATAGATAGGCATATTGGACCATAGGAAATTTCAGGTGTCTTACCCAAAGTTACCCAGATAAAATAAGGTCTTAAAATCCTGCTTAATGGTTGTTCACTGTATAGAGCCCTTTATTCCAGATATAAAATCAGAATTTACCATCTTCCTACATTTATGTAACACCTTTCATTTGTGAATACTCACTGACTTTAAGGAAAGAAATTGTAAGAAGTTTGTGTGATGTTGAAAACAATCCTAAGGTTACTGAAATGTGCTTCTGAGTTTTGTGCTTCTCTTTTGCTTCCTTTCTAGTTGGAGGGGAGCAGATAAGTGCCATTGGACAGGGCATTTGTGTGTTGCTGGGTATTTCCCTGGAAGATACACAGAAGGAACTGGAGCACATGTAAGATGTGGATTTCTAAGTCCTGATCTTTGAATGGAATATGTGCTGTTTATGTTGGCAACATCTGTAGTATTTTGTGCCTACTGATGTGAGGCTACAAGTCCCTTTCATTTGTTGTCCCACTTGATGTAGTATGTTTAAATCTGTTTCAGTAAGACTGAGGAAGAATAATCTTCCAAACCTCATCCACTAAATAGCAGAGTGGAAACACAACTTAGTCTTGTTCCTCTTACTAAACCTGTGGTTCCATTCTTTGTCTCTCTCAGCATACATTAATTGTACAAAGGGGTTCCATTGTGATATTTCCATACATGTGTTTTACTCCCTCTATTATACTGTTATACTTGCTTAACTTTCTGGATTTTTTTTGGTGGTACTGGGATTTGAACTCAGGGCCTCATGCTTGCTAGGTGGATGCTTTACCACTTGAGCCACTCCACCAGCCCTCAATTTTTTTTTTTCCTTAATGCAAACACAGACTTAAGTAGGATTTCTCTTTTAAATTTGGGCAATATGACCTGGGTACTATTTATGCAGAATGCCCAGTTGTTCATTGTCTTCATGAGGATCTGGAATTCAGAGATGTTAAATTCTTTGCCCTTGGCTATGGGGCAAAACCCTGTACCTGAATTAGAATCTAAGCTACCTAGCCTTGAAGCCAGTATTCTTTTTACTATGGTAAGGGAGTTTGTCACTGCTGCTACCTGGTTGGCTGTTTTATTAGAGTCAGTTCCTATCCATGCTTACTTCCTTCCCCCTACCACTTGGCACATTTACTTTAGGTGCTAGCTACCATTAATTCTGTGCCTTGGTACCCAGAGATTGGAACTCTGATCAATTGTCTTGTCATTAAATTGAAAGTCCGATTGAGAGCCTAATTCCTGCTAAGATGTTGATGACTGTTAAGGACACTTTGATACCACTTTTGGGATGTTGGTATTGAGTATCCAGGTGTCTCCTAGATACTTACATAGGAGTAGAGTGGGGTAGTGGTTAGTAACTGGGTTTCTGGGTATAAATCTCTTTATGGTTGTGATGGTTCGTCTTGGTTGCTAACTTGATTGGATTGAGAAGTGCCTAGGAGATAGTAAAGCACACAGCTTGGGGATGTGTCTTTGAGGGCATTTCCAGAGAAGATTAACTAAGTGGGGGATGCAGACTCTGAACATGAGTGGCACTCTCCTATAGGCTGGGACCTGGATAGAATAAAGGGGAAAAAGGAGAAAGTCTGCTAGTACAGGCATTCTCTCTCTCTGCTTCCTGGCTGTCAAGATGTGAGCTGCTCTTCTTCACCACACCCTTCCTGCCATGATGGACTAGAACCTCTGAAACCATGAGCCAAAATAAATAATTCCTCCCTTTAAGTTGGTTTTCTCAGGTATTTGGCCATGGCAATGGTAAAACTGACACAATGTCTGTGACATACCAAACAGCTAATACTCAACTTGTGGTTAAGAGATGTGACTCAAAAAAAGACAAACCTTGGCCCTGGAGTTGGGTAATGAATATTTCCAACTACAGAGAACACTCATAAGGAGTCAGTGGATGGAAGTATATTGGCCTTCAGTCTCAAAGGGTGGCTGTCAACTTTTTGTTGATGGTTCTTTCATGGTTCTTAAACCTGACCTATAATCATCACCTGTATGCTTCCTTGACAAGGTGACTGTCCTTTGTCATCCACAATTATGGGGAAAGCCCCTTTGTGCTTAAGGAGCAATGAGACATAATTATCAGGTATCATTTTTCAGCTGTTTTTACATATTTGTGAAAGCAAGAGTTTTCTCTGAGTATTTGTTAAATTGTTCATTTTGAATAGATCCAAGAAGAGCTGTAAAATGGGGTGTCATTTCTTTCTTTTTTTTTTTTTTTTGGTGGCACTGGAATTTGAGCTCAGGACCTCATGCTTGGTAGGCACTCTGCTAGCCCTTATTTATTCCTATGTAAAGATTGAAGCATGGAGTGAATTGGTAACTTGCCCAAGGTCATGTCTTTTGTAAGTGATAGAGTTATAATTATATCCTTATTTATCAGGATGCTTGGGAGTGTGTTGGGGCCTTGTGATCTTTCAAAAGCTCTTACTGCTCTTTTTCCTCATAGGGTCCGAAAAATTTTAAACCTTCGTGTGTTTGAAGACGAGAGTGGGAAGCACTGGTCCAAGAGTGTGATGGACAAACAGTATGAGGTACTATGTGTCAGCCAGTTTACTCTCCAGTGTGTCCTGAAGGGGAATAAGCCTGACTTCCACCTGGCAATGCCCACAGAGCAGGCAGAAGGCTTTTACAACAACTTCCTGGAGCAGCTGCGTAAGACCTACAGGCCGGAGCTCATCAAAGGTAGGCATGGGGTTGGGGTGTAGCTCAGTGACAGAACATTTACCTAAAGTCTATGAGACTCGGCTTGAAAGGCATAAACAGGAGAGCAAGCCTGACTCAGGAAAGAGAATCTACAATTCTAGCATGATTTTGTGGAAAATCATTATTCATGCATATTTCTTGTTTAACACACCATAATAGCAGTTATTGCTGCTGCTGTTGTACTTACAGCCCATCCCATGGATTCTCTTGATGCCATTCACCCTTCTGTTACATTCTGAAAACGCTTAGCCATTCAGAGGTGTGTCTGATACTGTGCTGTCTCTTTGGATCAGCCCTATCCAATAGAAATATAACACAGACCCTAAATATGAGCCAAATATGTCTTTTTATTTTTATTTTTTGTGATGCTGGTAATCAAACTTAGAGCCTCTCATATGCTAGCCAAGCACTCTACCACTGAGCTACACCCTCATCCAGTCATTTTAATTTCTAGTAGCGATGTTTAATTAAAAAAAAAAAAAAAAAGGAGGCCTGGGGCTGTAGCTCACTAGTAGAGTACATGAAGGCCCTGGCTTTAATCCCTAGCACCAAAAAAAAGCAAAAAAGAAATAGGCAAATTAATTAAAAAAATATATGTTAAAATTTTACAACTTTAACCCTGTAATCAATATAAAAAGTTATGAGACAGTTTGCACTCTTTTTTTTTTTTTTTCATTTTTCTTTTATTATTCATATGTGCATACCAGGCTTGGTTCATTTCTCCCCCCTGCCCCCACCCCCCCCTTACCACCCACTCCGCCCCCTCCCTCTCCCCCCCAATACCCAGCAGAAACTATTTTGCCTTATTTCTAATTTTGTTGTAGAGAGAGTATAAGCAATAATAGGAAGGACAAGGGTTTTGCTGGTTGAGATAAGGATAGCTATACAGGGCATTGACTCACATTAATTTCCTGTGCGTGGTGTTACCTTCTAGGTTAATTCTTTTGATCTACCTTTTCTCTAGTACCTGTTCCCCTTTTCCTATTGCCTCAGTTGCTTAAGGTATCTGCTTAGTTTCTCTGCTTAAGGACAACAAATGCTAGCTAGTTTTTTAGGTGTCTTACCTATCCTCACCACCTTCTTGTGTGCTCTCGCTTTTATCATGTGTCATAGTCCAATCCCTTGTTGTGTTTGCCCTTGATCTAATGTCCACATATGAGGGAGAACATACGATTTTTGGTCTTTTGGGCCAGGCTAACCTCACTCAGAATGATGTTCTCCAATTCCATCCATTTACCAGCGAATGATAACATTTCGTTCTTCTTCATGGCTGCATAAAATTCCATTGTGTATAGATACCACATTTTCTTAATCCATTCGTCAGTGGTGGGGCATCTTTGCTGTTTCCATAACTTGGCTATTGTGAATAGTGCCGCAATAAACATGGATGTGCAGGTGCCTCTGGAGTAACAGTCTTTTGGGTATATCCCCAAGAGTGGTATTACTGGATCAAATGGTAGATCGATGTCCAGCTTTTTAAGTAGCCTCCAAATTTTTTTCCAGAGTGGTTGTACTAGTCTACATTCCCACCAACAGTTTGCATTCTTTTTTAAAAAAAGCTTTATCTTTTTTTTAGAATAACAAAATTCAGAGGAAGGTACAGAAATATCCCATATACCCCTTTCCCTGTACATGCATCGCCTCCTCCATTATCAGTATGGAATGATGCTGGGGAGCACAGAGGTACATTTGTTACAATTGATGAACCTACATTGACACATCATTATCATTCACAGTTCATAAACTTACATTAGGGTTCACTCTTGGTGCTGTACATTCTGTGGGTTTAGATAAATTTTAATGACTCATACCCATCATTGCAGCATCATTCAGAGTATTTTCACTGCCCTAAAAACTCTGTGTGCTCTGTATATTCATTACTGTCTCCCCTAACTCATGGAAACCACTGATCTTTTTACTGTCTCCATAATGTTGTCTTTTCCAGAATGTTATGTATTTGGAATTATACAGCATGCTGCCTTTTCAGATTGGCCTCTTTTGCTTATGCATTTTAAAGTTCCTCTTTTCATGACTTACTATCTCTCTTTTTTTTTTTTTGGCACTGATTTGTCTACTTTACCATAGTTATCTGTTCGCTTACTGAAGGATATCTTGATTGTTTCCAAGTTTAGGCAATTAGACTAAAGCTGATATAAATATCCATGTGCAGGTTTTGTGTATACATAAGTTTTCAACTCCTTGGGATAAATACCAAGGAGTAAGATTGCTAGATCAAATAATAAGAATATATTTAGTTTTGTAAGAAATTGCCAAACTGTCTTTCAAAGTGGCTGTACCATTTTGGGTTCCCACTGACAGTAATGATGGTTCCTGTTGTTTGAAACCCTCACCATCATTTGGTGTTATTGTTATTCTGGATTTTGGCCATTCTAATAGGTATATAGTCATATCTTACTGTTGCCTTATTTATTTATTTGTTATTTTTACTGTTGCTTTAATCTACATTTCCATGATGACATATGATGTGGAGCATCTTTTCATATGCTTCCACGCTGTCTGTGGTGAGGTTTCTGTTAAGGCCATTGGTTCATTTTTCAATTAGATTGTTTTCTTATTGTTGAGCGTTAAGAATCTTTACATATTTTGGATACCAGTTTTATATTAGATACATCTTTTGCAAATATTCACTTTGAAAATGTTTATCCTTAGTTCAAGCCCCAGTACCACAAAAAAGAAAAAATGTTTATCCTTTATTGATATACTTTATCATTTGCAAGTATTTTCTCCCAGTGTGTGGTTGAGTTTCCATTCTCTTGACAATGCCTTTCATTGAGCAGAACATTTTAATTTTAATGAACTCCACCGTATCAGTTCTTTCTTTCATGGATTGTGGCTTTGACATATCCAAAAAATCATCACCATACCCAACATCCTGTAGATTTTCTCCTATGTTGTTTTCTAGGAGTTACAGTTTTGCATTTCATATTTAGTTGCATGATCTGCTTTGACTAGGTTTTTATTATTCCTTTTCTTTTGCTTACTTTGGTCTCTGTGTAGATTCAGTTTTATATCCAGTTCCAGCATCATTTGCTCAAAAGACTCCTTTCTCCATTGTCTTGCCTTCGCTCCTTTGTCAAAGATCAAGTGACTATATTTATTTCAGTCTGTTTCTGGGTTTTCTGTTGCATTGATCTATTTGTCTGTTCTTTTGCCAATACTATATTGTCTTAATTACTATAGTTTAGTCGTAAGTCTTGAAGACAAACAGTGTCACTCCTCCAACTTTATTCTATTTTTCTCCTGCAGTATTGTGTTCATTATTTGAGGCCTTTTGCCTCTCCATATAAACTCTAGAATTAGTTTTGTCAGTATCCACAAAGTAATGTGCTGGGATTTTGACTGGGATGGAATTGAATGTATAAATCAAATTTAGAAGAACTGACATCTTAACTGTCTTGAATCTTCCTTTCCAAGAACATGGAATGTAGCTCTACTCATTTAGTTCTTTGATTTCTTTAATCAGTTTTGAAGTTTTTCTCATATAGATCTTGTATATATTTTGTTAGATTTATATCTAAGTATTTCATTTCTACTTGTTCATTATTAACATAGAAAAGTGTCTGGCTTTTGTGTATTAACTTTGTATCTGGTAATTAATATATAATTTATTGTTTCCAGGAGTTTTTTTGTCAATTCTTTTTTTCTATATAGATGATCGTATCATCTGTAATATTTTTTCCTTCCCAATCACTTATACCTTTTATTTCCTTTTCTTGTCTTATTATATTAGCTGAGGCTGCTTATATAATGATGAAAAGGAGTTGGTGAGATGGGCACCCTTGCCTTGTTCTTGCTCTTAATGGGAAAGCTTCTAATTTTTCTCGTTAAATATGATGCTAACTATAACTATAGGGTTTTTTTTGTTGTTGTTGTTTTAATTGTAGACATATTCCCTTTCTTTCCCTTTCCCTCTCCTCCTTCCTCTCCTCTTCTCTCTCTTCCCCCCGCCCCCCATTCTCTCTCTTTCTCTCTCTTGGGCCAGAGTCTCTATGTAGTCAGGGCTGGCCTCAAACTCACTATGTAGCCCAGACTGGCCTTGAACTCATACTTTTGCTTCAGCCTCCTGAGTACTGGCATTTTAGGTATGCACTACCATGCCTGGCTGTAGACATTCTTTGTCAAGTTGAAGAAGTTCCCCTATATTTCTAGTTTACCACGAATTTTTATTATGAATGGGTGTTGGATTTTGTCAAATGCTTTTTCTATATCTGTTGATATGGTCATGTGACTTTTCTTTTGTAACCTGTTGATGCGATGGATTACATTAATTGATTTTTGAATATTGAGCTAGCCTTGCATACCTGGGATAAGTTCCACTTGGTTATGGGGTATAAATTCTTTTTAGGTCAGGCACCAGTGGCTCAAGCCTATAACCCTAGTTACCTGGGAGACAAAGATCAGAAGGATCATGGTTCAAGACCAGCCTGGGTAAAAAGTGAGATCCTGTCTCAAAAATGCCCAACACGTGTCAGGCACCGCTGGCTCATGCCTGTAATCCTAGCTACTCAGGAGGCAGCGATCAGGAGGATCGTGGTTCAAAGCCAGCCCAGGAAAATACTCTGTGAGACCCTATCTCATAAAAACACATCACAAAAAAGGACTGGTGGAGTGGCTCAAGGTGTAGTCCCTGAGTTAAAGCCCCAGTACCATTAAAAACAAGCCCAACACAAAAAAGGACTGATGGAGTGGTTCAAGCAGTAAAGTACCTGCCTAGTAAGTGTGAGACCCTAAATTCAAACCCCAGTACTGCCAAAAAAAATTCTTTTTATACAGTATTAGATTTGATTTGCTAATATTTTGTTGAGGATTTTTGCATACGTGTTCATTAGAAGTATCATCCTGTAGCTATCTTTTCTTATAACACCTTTGTCTGGTTTTGGTATTAGGGTATTTGGAATTAGAATGATTTAGGAAATATTTCCTGAACTTCTAGCTTCTGAAAGAGATGGGAGAGAATT